ACAGGTGTGGCGCCGCTGTGCAGTGCTGGAGGCCATGTCGGAAGGCTCTGGGCTTGCTCAGTGAGTCTTACTACAGCGCGTGATTCTGGCTGGCTGTGGACAAAGGGGACAGCCATGGCGTGAAGACTCTGTCAAAGGTGATCATCTCTATCTCACTCTCTCATGGAAGAAAGAAAGAGGGACGAGGAGGAGGCTTGGTGGCTAAGGCACTGGACTTCCACATGACTGACCACAGTTCGAGTTCTAGATCTGGTGGCTTGAAAACTGTGCCAGGCACCTGTGTTTGTGTGACCAACATCCCAGGAGGAGAACAGAGGGGAAGGGACTGCAGCGTGGCCATCTCCCCCCCGGGGGGGGGGTGATTTCTCACTTTCCCTCTCACTGTCTCTGTCTCTCGCTCTGCGGTGAGTGCAAGCACCCTAAGGTAAATAAATATTGTTGCTAGACAGAATTATGTGCTCACCAGAAAGAGACAGAGACAGAGAGAAGGAGAGGAGAAAGCATCCCTCTCCATTCTCTTCTCCAGATTTTGGGCGTGCATGCACACGCATCTGGTATGTTTCTCAAGCCACCAGGTCCAGGACGCGAACTGCACAGTTGGCCACGTGGGATCCACCATACCACTGGCTGGCCCCTAACCATCTCTTAAAGTCATATCTCTCAACACTGTTGTGGGAGTTAAGTTTCTAACACATGAACCTATTTGTGTTGGGGACATAGTCACACACAGCAGGGAGTAAGCAGGGTCAAAGAAATAAGAGCCGCCATGGCTGACATGCATCGAAGCTGGGAGGTGAATACAGGGGCGCTCAGAACGTTATTATCTCTACTTAGGTTTACATTTGACATTTTCTGAAATAAAGTTATGCACAATAGTCTTGAAAATGCTCAGAGGTCCTTACCCGAATGAGCCCTGACTCCCGCAGTTGGTAGGCTGAGAAAAGGCCCTGTGTGCTCTAGGAGGGGAGCATGGGTCGGTTTATGCACAACCCGAGTCACTGCCGGCAGCTCCCATCAGCTTTTGACTTTGTTAACCGTGCTGTGCACACGGGAGCTGCCCAGCCGAGGGCCTGAGCCAGGCCCGGCTCCTCCCTGCTTCCTTGTCAGACCACTGGCCCCTTTTCCTCCTCCTTCCCTCCAGCTGGTAGGGAATCACTTTCCATTTGGTTCCATCCCAGTGGAGATCACCACAGAACAGCTGGGGTCCTGAGCCCAGCACCTTCCTGCCCCTCCACCTTCTCTGTCCCCACAGACTTCCTCTGAGAGGGAAGTGTGGGTCTAGCTTCCTCTACCACCTTGACCCCGATGACGTCACCTCATTCCCTACGGTGTCCCCTTGGCCCCTACGGCGTCCCCTCAGCCCCTATGGTGTTGTCATGTCCAGCTGCCCAGTCTAGCCT